GAGTTTACAATCTTCCAGACACTGTTCTTAGTGGTATATATGTATTAACTCATTTGATTGACAAAACAATCCCAGGGCATAGGTCCTGTTATTATCTCATGCTTATACAATAAATAGGGCAATAAATGCAATGGGAGTATATTAATTAACCCAGTTCCAAGGCCAACAAACCACAGAACCAGTATTCAAACCATGTTATGTGGCCCCCAAATCCACTCTTTTAACCACTACACTTTAGCGCCTCCCATAAAACATAAACAGCACTGAATCCACCTTCTCATTAAACAAAGCCAAGCTTGGGCTCCCACACATTCCTTTGTCTTAGAGAAGATGGAGAGAAGGGCAGAGAAGAGTTCATAGGATCAAAATTGGCTCCTTCCCTATAGTTCTGTTTCTCTGTTTCTAGTAAAATAAATTTTGTGTTACAGTTTTTCTTTGTTCCTCAACCTAGACAGCCCATACCTTTAGTAGTGCCTTTGTAGAGGGCAACAGTCTGCTGAGTCATCTCTAGCATCAGGAGGTTTCAAAGAAGCCTCCCATCTGACTACAAACCAGGTTCACAGCTGCTTATCTTAGGAGACTTGACAAGGTCACAGCTTGAAATGGTATGACTGTATTATAACTAAATATTAAGTGAAAATTCATTCAATTTAATAATTCAATAATAGTTTTCCTGTGTCTGTTATAAATAACAGAGTCATTATCATATATTATTTAAAAATAAGCCTAATTAACTTTATTTAATTTTTTATGCCTTATAGTTAATACTTGTTGATAAAGATAATGCAAGGGCTATACATACAATTGTCAAAATACATACAAGATGTCAAAAATATTTTTAAAGAAAGCCTTGCTTTACATCTATATACAATATATAGGAAATTGTTATATTTTTGAAGACGGATATCTTTGTACCTGAGAATCTGCTCCAATCTATAAAGCCTGAATTTGCAAGATCTATTTTCATATAAACTAATGTGTAAAAGAAACTTTGACAATTGAATACTTCTTCAAAAAGACTTTGTTACTGACACACCAGTTTTACTATTGCTGCCTTGCTCTTTCAGTGCCTTTGTCCTGAGACTATTTTAGGTTTGAAGCTGAAAATAGTAATATTTCAAGATAATTTGAATCATATTTAATAACCAAGCTTACATTTATGATGTCACAGTGAAAAAACAAATCTTCTGTCTTAACTAATTTTAAATTGGTAATCTAACTTGTTTATTGTCTAGACAGATCATTTCTTCATTCATAGATTAGAAAGGTGGACAGACAATTGAAAAAAAATTGATCAGTTGCCTGAAAAGAAACATACACACACACACACACACACACACATATATATATATATATATATATATATATATATATATATATATATATATATATAGAGAGAGAGAGAGAGAGAGAGAGAGAGAGAGAGAAAGAGAGAGAGAGAGAGAGACAGTAATACATATATAAATAAATAAATATATATAGAGAGAGAATGTAACTTGTTTGAAGTTATATAGATATATAGGTCACTACAAATCAAATCAAATCCTTCACTTTTCCATTGAAGTAATTTGATTTCAAAATACCTTCTAATTTTTGGATATTTGGATATCATTTTCTCTCTTTTGTTCTATGAGTTTATTACCAAGACAATCACATTTTATAAACTGTTTAGTGCATATCTAGAACTGTGTGATGGTGTGAAGTAGTAGGAAACATTACTTAACCCCTTGAGGGGTTTACAATCTGATGAAAAAAATAACATTTAAACATATTAAGTAATTAGAGAACAGGGTGAAACCACCCATATAAGATTCCATCTAATGGAGAGAAATCAGGTGTAGGGGAGATAGAAGGGGTTAATACAAATTTATCTGGTGGTACATTGGTGGCAAAAAGCAGTAATGAATACAGAAATAGATTAGTAATGACGGACAAGGTGTTTACACTCATACACACAGTAGCCCTCACAGGTAACAACAATACCTAATGGAGACCCTGAGGCTCAGAAGGCTACGTAGACACCAAATTTTATCGTCATGCCATTGCATCCACTGCTTTAACAGTAAATGTACTGTGTGTGATTTTCTATATTAGCAGACATTGTGTTTTCCTAAAAATGGAAGCGATCAGATGCAAATAAAGGTTCAAATGTGTAAGGTGATATACGAAAATGAAATATTTCAACATTACTTGGCTTTGGTCTGGAAATTTTACATCTTTAAGTGAAAAATTCAAGAAATTTGAAAGTGTGGTCATAAATAAAATATGTTTTATGTATTTTATTCTAGGTGAAATTAACACACCTCATTTATCAATACAAAATAGTAATCTGAACACTGACTGCAAATACATTGTTATACATAAATATTGCATGTTTATATTATCAAAAAAGTGGCAAGCAGTAATAATAGTGCGATTTAAATGGGTATTTTTTACCCAAAAAATGTAGCTATATATTAGTTTCATAAATATTAGCTATAAAGAATTTTCAAAAAGAAATATATCTTAGAGATAATATTTTTGCCTTTAAGTACCATGTACAAAGTGTATACATAATTTGCTTTCAGTATTTATTCATTTATTTTAGGAATTATGCCTATGTTTCAACAGTGCACAAGACATAACACTTGTAAAATTTTTATGATAGGGGTAGTATACATGTTTTTTTAAAGGGACAAAAATATATTAAAAAATGTATTTATTAAATAATAGAGAATAGTCGTTAGTCTTATAAGCTTTTGAGTCAGACAGGGATTCACAACCTGACTTTACTATTTTCTAGGTGTGTGACCATGGGGGAGTCATTACTCTTTCTGGGACTCAGTTCCCTAATTTTAAAATATGGCTATAAAAAAAACCCTACCTTACAAAGTTATTGTGAGGCTCACTGTACATAGAACATTTTAAGTGTTTCATACAGTTCTCCAGCCCATGACACAAGTGGCTTTCAATAAATAAGTAATAAGAATTAGTTTCACAATTGAAATATGTGTGTACACACACACACACACACACACACAAATCTAGCTAGCTAGCTTTCCCAAAATGTTCAGCCTATTTTGTTTTATCACAACACTAAAAGTATTCCATGAAGTTTTACTATATAATATCCATTTTTCTGAGGTAGAATGAAGAAAAAAAAGGAAAAGCTTATTATGGTAGGTTAAGTTAAATCAGTTATTCTCTAGTAATGCCGGTTCTAATTTTGAAGTTGTCAACATTTTTTTTTCATTGTCAGGTCACTCTCTATCCACCCTCCCCTAGATATGGCATTAGACATGGAGAGGAATGTGGGGGAGGAGAGGGCACTGCCATGCAGCAGTTAGCTGGAGTGGTGGGAAGGACCCATGGTTTTTTTGCTTGGAGTTTGTACATTTGAGATAAAGTTGCAAAAAGGGCTGGAAGAAGCAGGAGGAAAGCAACAAAGTAATTCTCACACTCTCCCCTGACTGGTCACAAAAGTTAATTCTACATGCAACCACTCAGCAAACTGTTTTGTAGTGGAGGAATAAGGGGGTGTTGAGTTGGTATCAGCCACCAACCACTTGTATCACTATGCAATTGAGTATGCCTGGATGTGGGATTGCCTCTGAATTGTCTGCTCTGAAGCTGCAGATCTGGATATGCACCATCCAGGTCCTGAGACTGGTAAGGCCATGCTCTGAATCCCTACAGTTCACCATTGTATCTATGTGGTTACATCCTTCTGGAAAGTTCTTCACTATCTATGACAACGGAAGTTCTGTGCGTCCCTAGGGCCCTTCCCCAGTGCCCAAGGGGGCGTCCCACTCGTGACTGGGCTCAGCCCAGGTACTTGAAACTTCTCCTGGGACTGACAATGGGGGCAGAACCTTCCCTCCCCGGAGCAGGGAAAGAGGTATCCCTTTTCTGGACCTCTTCCACTCCACTGCCTGAGGGCTCTGATAACAACACTATTGAGGAAACCATTCTCTTACCCACCGACCCCCACTCCTGTCCTCTAGATTCCTGACCCCAACCCTGTCAGGGAAGTGAGGCCTAGGGAAGTACATTTGGAACACACTCCTCAGAGATTCTGGTGCTGGAGCTCAGGGATCTCAATTTGAGAATTAAGAAAAAAAAATTGGTTGAAAAAAACTGGTTGAAAATTTATTACGGACACCAGCAGCAGAGCTGAGATCAGAGGGCCTGCAGGACAGACCTCAGCGAGAGGGTATCCCTATCTCTGCTAAACACCCTCATCACCCATCAAGTTCACTAATTGCAGCAAAAGGTCTCCCAGGATTGCACCAAGTGCACATTTGTTTCTTCAACAGACAATTGTCTGGTCTCCTTCTAGCCTCATTTTTGACATTTTAGCTTTTGGATTATACGCCTAAATAGAGATTAAGAAGGCTTTTTGGTTGCTGTCCTGGGAATAGTGAAACGCCGGGAGTAAGTATATCAATGGTCCTGGGCAAGCACACTAGGATGTGTCCACGTGGAGACTGCTGAAGCACTGGCCCCAGGTGCGTCTCCCCATGTGGGCTTCACCTCCCACTTCCAGATCCCCTCCGACCCCTGCCAGCCTGGTTTGTGTTATCCCGCACTGCGCCCCCCTCCTCCCCACCGCCCCGCAAGTTCCCAGTCGGTTCCTCCCACTGCCTCCGCCCCCTCACATTCGGCATCCCGCGTCGACTTCGTCCCATATCTACTGTGCTTCCACCCCGCCGCCAGCCTCACTTCCCGCCCTCGCCTACATCAGGGCAGCCTCCCTCGCCACAGCGCTCCACCCGCGCGCGCTCCGCTCTCTCCAGCCGATGTTTCTCCTCGGCCCCTCCGCCCTAGCCTCCTTCGCTGCCCCCGCTCCCCGGACTTGGTAGGCTCCTTGCCCAGCGGTCGCCCCAGCCCACTGGTCCGTGAAAGCCCGGGCTCCCGGGTGACCCCGAGGCGCCGCACACCCCACTGCTGCCACGGCCAACACGGGTGCCATGCGCGTCCACCGCCGCTGCCGCGCCACGACCACTCGCCCGCCGCCCACCATGGCCCCACAGCAAACAGGTAGCAGGAAGCGGAAAGTGCCCGTCATCGAGGAGGCCGCCGAGAGCTCCTGGTTGCAGGAAGTGGCGCCGGCGGACGGCGAGGGCATGCTACTACCCAAAAAGCAGAAGCGGCAGGCAACGCGGCCTTCGCTGGTGCACTACCTGAAGGGCCGCGAGGTGGGCGCGCGGGGTTGCGCGGGGCTACCGAGCTTCGAGGGCGAGCTGCGCGGCTACGCGGTGCAGAAGCTGCCCGAGCTGCTGCGCGAACGGGAGCTGGTCCTAGGTCCCCTCAACAAGGTGTTTGCTTCGCAGTGGCTGAACGCCAGGCAGGTGGTGTGCGGCACCAAGTGCAACACGCTCTTCGTGGTGGACGTGCATTCGGGCCAGATCACGCGCAGCCGGACTGGCCCGGGCCCAGCCGAGCTGCGGCATCCACACCATTGAACTGAATCCCTCCAAGACGCTTCTGGCCACCGGCGGGCGAGAACCCCAACAGCCTGGCTGTCTACCAGCTACCCACCCTGGACCCCTTGTGCCTGGGTGACCGCCACGGCCATAAGGACTGGATCTTCGCCATCGCCTGGATGAGTGACACAGTGGCTGTGAGCGGTTCCCACGACGGCACCTTGGCGCTATGGAAGATGGATCCCGACATGTTTAGTGGCAGCATCGCCTGGCACAATGACGCGGGACTCCCGGTGTATGCCCACACCCGTCCAAGGGACGTGGAGACCATCCCTAGGGCGAGCACCAACCCCAGTAACCGCAAGGTGCGGGCCCTGGCCTTCAGTAGCAAGAACCAGGAGCTGGGAGCAGTGTCCCTAGATGGCTACTTCCACCTGTGGAAAGCCCGGAGCACCCTGTCCAGGCTGCTGTCCATCAGGCTGCCCTACTGCCGGGAGAACGTGTGCCTGACCTACTGCGATGAGTTGTCCCTGTATGCGGTGGGCTCCCAGTCCCACGTCTCCTTCCTGGATACGCGCCAGCGTCAGCAGAACATCCGGCCCCTGCGTTCCAGAGAGGGCGGCACTGGCGTGCGCTCCTTGAGCTTCTACCAGCACATCATCACGGTGGGCACCGGCCATGGCTCCCTGCTCTTCTATGACATCCGCGCCCAGAAGTTCCTGGATGAGAGGGCCGCGGCCAGCCTGGACTGCTCTCCTCTGGGTCCTGCAGGGAAGAAGCTCAAGCTCACCTGTGGCAGAGGCTGGCTCAACCACGATAACCTGTGGGGGAACTACTTAGGTGGCATGGACGAGTTCCCCAATGCGCTTTACACCCACTGCTACAAATGGCCTGAGATGAAGCTCTTCGTGGCTGGGGGACCTCTGCCTTCAGGCCTCCATGGGAACTACGCAGGCCTCTGGAGCTAAGAATGGCCACAGTGTTCTCCAAGTGCCCAGATTTTCCTTCTAGTGCCCTCTCACTCTTTTTCACGCTGTTTGTGCTTTTAACTCTGTGTGGTTTTTATTCTCTGGTTGGAAGGTGCCCAGCTTACCTGTGCTTAGTGTATTACTCTGAGACAGAAAAGGCAAAAGTGGTCTTTGGGCAATCAAAACTTGACTTTAACAATTTTCTGCACCTCTCACAACACCATCATCTTTTTTGCCTTCTCTTACAAAGATTTTTGACTAATCCTTAATTGTGTTCTCCTTTGAGTGATTCACATATGCTCTTTCTCTGTGCTGGTGCAGTTATGGTTCCCATTACAACTCAGTACTTTAGTTTTACCAGTATTTCAATAGTATGTTCAGATTTATTACACATTTCTGATGTGTTATTTTTGGAAAATGTGTGCTAAAAAGTGTCTTTTGAGCTGGTCTGAGGAACTATCCATCATATGACAGAGCCGGTTGATAGCTCTGCTCCAATTTGAAAATTCATTTCATGTTCTAGATTGCCACCATTTGGGCATGTTTCAGCTGGATGTTGGAAACTCAGTGTTTGTTGTTTGCATATTGTTAGTGCATAAAATACTTTAAATATATGTTCTTTTAGTCAAGAAATCTTACAATGGTGTTCATCCTGTTAACCACAACTTTTATTATTGAATAGAAATTAATCATCAATACCCCCAGGCCCTCATTCATCCTCTTTAAAGCTGCTATATTGTGGCCTGATTTCTTGGGTAGCATTTAAGCCACAGATTTTCAGAACTAATCAAAACTGTCCTATATATGGCAGGACAATCAGGGAGGTTCTTTCTGGGTAAATGTCTTTAAAGTTCACGTAACATTATCTAGGTAGTCCTTTACAGAAGAAGGTCAGCTGTTGTACTCAATGGAGGTGTTGTGGACAATATTTTTTATTGTGTACATAGATAATCATTTTATCTGGATTGAGTTTGTGATGTATTGCATAAAATATAAACATGTTCAGCATTTTAGCAATTAAATGCTAGGCTAAGGTTTTTGAATGCTTAAATATACATTTTATTTTTTCTTAATTGTCTGTCTAGAAATATATTTATCAAAATAAAAATCTTCTAGGAGAGAAACTAAAGCTGAAACATCAGCTATGCATACATTAAATTGTACATTTGTTTTTGAAAAGCAAACTGAAGCTACTAACATGGGTTAAAAGATTAATATCTTGACTACCTTACCTAAATATACTTGCTATAGGTTGGGACAGTTAGTTGTCTTGTGTTTTTAAGATGATTTAACAGTTTTTCATTTACACAAAAGTACATATGTTTACAACTACCTACTCACATATACTGTATATATTACTGTATATTTGTGTATGTGTATGTTACCTCCCATGTGAAGAAAGGCATAGGTGTATACCATTTAGATGCAGATATGTCTAATATTTTAAACTACAACTATCAAGATTTCTCACTTGGTCTTTATTTTTGTTTTGTTTTTGTATTTTAACTTAAGTAATACATGCACGTGATCAAGACAATTATACTTTATAAAAAGTATATAGGGAAAAGTAAGTCTCAAACCCCAGGATCCCTGATCTTCTTCTGTCCATAGATCACAAGCAATACATTAATGCATGTGAGACTATTTAGAGATAGACGGTACATATACAATTATATATGTATGTGTGTATGCAGTTGTTGTGAAAATGATAGCACATTCTGCACGTACCTGTGCCTTTTTATCACAAAATATTAGAGATTGTTTCTTCTCTAGATGTATGTCTACCTAATTCATCTTTTTTAAAAAAAGATTTTATTGGTGAATTGGGGAAGGGGAGCAGCCAAGTTATTGTACTTCAATCTTAGTTGTGGAGGGCCCAGCTAGCTCAGCTCCAAGTCCAGTCACCATCTGGCCACCCATTGGCAGCTCGCTGCCTGCCAGCTTAAGGAGCCATATTCAAACTTAGTTGCAGGTGGGCATAGACCACCGTCCCATGCAGGAGTCAATCTGGCAGCCTTGTTGTTAGGAACACATGTTCTCACCAGCTGAGCCATCCTGCCACCTGTTGGAAGCTCAGCAGCAGCTCAGCTCGGGCTCAGCTCACTGGCCCATGTGAGAATTAAACTGGTGACCCTGTTGCTCAGAGCTCGTGCTCTTAACCAAGTGAGCCACGCAGCTGGCCCCACCTAATTCATCTTAATTGTGTAGCAGTCCCCTGTGTCTTTGAAACATATGTTGTTTATTTGTTACATCTTTGATGAGCATTTATATTGGTTCTTATTTTATGTTACTATATACTATTCCATAGTGATTACTTAGGTGCATGCATTTTTGTGCACATGTGTAAATATGCCTGCAGAATAAATTCCTAGAAATGGAATCACTGGGTCAATTTTATATGTAATAGCCATTGCCAATTACCCTTCAAAGAGGCCCTACCGATTTAACCTCTCTGAAATAATGTATGCACACCTGCTTAACCACACCCTTGCCAACAGTATGTCATCAAATTCTGTGCTCTTTGCCAATCAGATATCCACTTGATGTTGAGCCTTTCTTTCTAAGCCCCTGTGACTGAGTTAATTAGATTTGTGGTCCAAGTACCAAGTAGGTTCTGAAACAAAGATCAAGAATACGAAGAAATGAGGGTAAGCAGTAAAAACACTGTCCAGTCAAATGCAGAGAACACCATGGTAAGAGACTCGCATATCTGGAGATGGATTACAAAGGACTGCATTCCTTAGATACTTAGCTAGACCTAGTGGACTTTCCTGGTTTTTTGCACCCCGGATTCCCTTGTATTCAATGCATCAGATGTCAGTGCAGAAAATCAAAGGAGATGATGAGAGACTGAACTAGGCTATTTGAGGTGAATGTGGAGAAGGAGGAAGTTACTAGAAAAATGAGGAGAAAATAAAATGTACAATCTGTATTTGGTAGTTCATGTGAAGGATGAAGAAAGCCAAATAATTTAGGTGAACTCTTAAGGTTCTGGCTTGAATGTAAATTAATAACAACAAATGAAGATAGGGAATATAAGCATAGAAGATACCTGTTGGGGGTGATCAACTAGACTGGGGACATGTTGAATTTGATGTACCTATGTGACATTAGGGGAACATGCCCAGTGAAGCACTGGCTGTATATCCCAGAATGCTGGGAAAGTGAGTGATCAGAAATGCCAGTAAATTCTCTTTTTAGGGGCAAGAGTAATAGAAAAGATTACTAAGGATCCTAAAAAGCAATAAAGAAAAACAGGGGTGAGAGATACAAAGTAGAAGAGGCTTATTTTACTTACCCAAATGCTGTGACCTCATCGACCTAAGACAACAAACTATTTCTTTAATATTAAGATACAATAATTATTGAGTCTCCACTTCAGTCACAAAGGGCAATTTTTCTCCCAGATATCCTACGTAAATATTTACCTAGGAAATTGTATCAGTCTGCTAATTAATCTTTTTCATTGGTCAAATATTGGTTCCTTCTTGGAGAATAAGAAGCCAAACCTTATCCACAAAGTAGGACTTCACAGTTAAGTGATTTCTGCACCACTTCGCCTGCTAGTCTGGGATGTTTCCAGCACTCCCAACAGCCTGCTGGCACCGATATTGCTGGCAGCATCAGAGGTGAAGTATCACCTCACCATCAGCTGCTACTGGCCCATGTTTGTGTTCCTGCCTCAATGCCACAGGTGCTGGTCTCTGCCAATTTCCCCAGGCTTCCAAAGGGCAAAGGAGGTGTTCAATGCAGGGTGCTCTTTTATTCAGCATCACAATCATGGAAGAACAAATACAAAGAATTAGAAATGGAAAATAAATAATCACAGGATCAGATTTATTAGGAGCCAAATGCAAAATCTGATTGAAAAAAATATAAGAAGATACAGATAACTAAAATCTTTCTAAGAATAAATAAGAAACCAGAACAGACCATTAACCCTAGAAAATTGTAAACGTTTTTAAATCTGCCCTGTCCTCCAAGAAAATCACAAACATGCAATCATAAACATATAATAAGCATATTAGGCCAGATGGTCTCACAAATCATTTCACATTATCAAGGAATATTTACTATTGAGTTGTTGAAGAACATAAAAAGTTTACTTTCTTCTATGAGGCCAACATAATATTAATGACAAACCTGACTAAAATTGCACACAATGAAAAGAGATCAGTTTTACATATATAGATAAATAAATATAACATACTTTAAAACACTGAATACAAACCATCAGTGTATTAAAAGGAAAGTATACTGTGGCTAAGTGATGCTAGTTCTTTGAATATAAAGAGTGCTCACTATTGAGAAATCTATTATTGCAATTTATCATATTAACAGGTCAAACAAGAAGACACACACTCATGTCAATAAATTCTAATAAATAAGAAAACCTTACTACAATTCTGATAAAATCCTTAGTAAGTATGAGGAAATAAGTTCTTTATATGGTCAGTGTGTGTGTGTGTGTGTGTGTGTGTGTGTGTGTGTGTGTGTGTGTGTTGTGTTTCATAACTGAAACCAGAATCCTCTTTAATGATACATTAAAGGAATTCCTATGAAAGTAAGGAACAAAACAAGGATTCTAAAAATTACCCCCAGTATTTAATATCATGAAAATTGTAGCTACAGCAAGTAGAAATGACAATAGAAGTTATAAATATGAGACTAGAGAAAGCAGTTATAATTATTGACAGATGATATGACTTAAAAAAATCCACAAGAGCCAGCTGAAAAATGTTAGAGACAATGACATAATTTAGTAAGATGTTTAGTTTTTAAATTAGTATGTAAAGAATCAGTATTTTTCTATTTTCACTTGTTTATTCATTCAGCAAATATTTTTTGAATGCTTATCATATAACAGGCACTTGTTATGTGCCTATACAGGAACTAGAGATACTATGCAAGCAAGCCATGCCCTAAAATGTCTTGTGGTTACTTGAGAATGAAAGAGATAATAAACAAAATAAACTAGTAAATGTGTAATATGTCAGATG